TATGTGCCGTGGAGTCGGTTCCGACTCATAGCGACCCTGCACAGGGTTTCCAAGGCTGTTAATCTTTACAGGAGCAGAACGCCTCATCTTTCTCCGGTGGAACCGCTGGTAGTTTCGAACTGCTGACCTTACGGTTCACAGCCCAATTCGTAACCACTACGCTACACCCAGAATTCAACTAATTCCTGGTTAAGGAGTGATTAGACTCCTGGTGTGGCACTGTAGGATCAGCACTAGACTGTGAACCACAAGGTCGGCAGTTCAAACCCACCAGCTGCTCCTCGGAAACCCTATATAGAATTGCTATGAGTTGGAACAGACTCAACAGCACTTAACAACAACAACAACCCAGGATTGGGAGTCCTCGTATGGTGCTGACGGATAAGCACTGGACTGATAACCACAGATTGGCAGTTCAAACCCACCAGTCACTCCTCAGAAACCCTATCTATTATACAGGGTCACTGTGAGTCAGAACGATTTCACAGCACTAAACAACAACAACCAGGGATTACCTGCTTGAGCATAGTGGGCACAGTGGGGCACCTGGGGTGCTGACCAGGTCCTAGCCTCCTGCTTGGGAAGGGCTCTTGTGGAGGCTCTGAACCATGTGACCTGTGGATCATCACCCATTTCACCCTAGTGGGGGAGCCCACTGCTCTTATGCCCACCTCCACCTCCCTGTCATGGGGCAGGACTCCCTGTACCTCCACAGTCCCCTACATCCCCCAACGGCCTGACCACACAACCACCCCACCCCCAGGAACAGATATGCAAGGGGGCACCCTACTGGGGGACATTGACAAACCTAGTTTGCCTGCCTACCTGCCTGTCCACCCATGACTGAGGTCTTGGGGTGCACCAGACTGCAGCAGTGTGACGACCCGGGCGTCATGCCATCCAGATCTTGGTATCATCAAGCATCCAAAGGAAAGACTCATGGGGAGGTCTCCTATACCCCCACCCCTGTGAATTACCCAGAAGACATCACCCCTGTGTGGCAGAGCAGACCCGCTGAGGCCCCTAGTCACCAGGAGGGACCATGTCCTTCGACATCAGTGGTGGTGACAACCACCTTGGGCAGAGAGTGGCCCCATCTATAAGGGTGCCTATGTCTTGTTGTTGGGGGCCAGACATCCTGACTGCATGTGTCTGGATCATGGATGTCTCATTTTATAGATGAAGAAACTGAGGCTCAGAATTCAGTAGTGGATGACCCAAATTAGGTTCGGATGACTTCTGACAATTAGAGAGGGTTGCGTGGCTCTCTGTGAGGAGCCCCTCGGGGTGAAACTGCTTCCTTCCCCGCATGCCAGTGGTCAGCTAGTCACCCGAGTGTGGGGACAGCTTGAGTTCTGAGGAAGTATATCTAGGTCCGTCTTGAGGAAGCAGCTTGTCCCCCTGCCCTCCATGGGCCCTGAGAGGCATGGGTAGGACTGAAGCTGTGCTCTGGGATCCAGCCACCCATTCCCAGGCATTCTCTGTGAACTCCCTTGCCAGCGGGAGCTGTGGCATTCAAAACATAGGAAGGACTCAGAACCCTACTGGCCATGGGGCATGGACCCCATATGGTTCAAGGGCTGGGGGGACTGACAGAAGCACCACAATCCCAAGAGACAAAAGCCTTCTGGAGACAGAGTGGGCCTGGGTCCTGGCTGGGCTGCTGGTGGGTAGGTGGGTGCCTGGGACAGGAAAGTCCCCAGAGGGGCAGTGTAGGACTTCCACGTGCTGCCCTCCATGCCCACGCTGGGTTTCAGCCTTGCTCCCAGTGGACCTGGCAGAAGCGCTGCTCCATGCCGCCGCCAGGCTCAGACAACATTCAACTTGCCATCGAGGGAGCACAGGCTGCAGGCACTAAGCCAGGAAGGAGGCTCCCGGGAAAGAAGACATTTGGTGAAGACAGAAACGGGCCTGCATCCCAGCTCAGGCTGCCCCAGCATGTGCTGTCTGCAATTAGGTGGCTCGTGGGGACGCCAGTGGCAGGTGCTGACAGGCAGGAGTGCACGAGCTGAGACCCGCCCACAGGGAAGGGCTGTCACACAAGAAAGGCACATGTAAAGACCCCACTGAGCTTAAGTATCCACGGTCACCAGACTCCATCAGGATGGTCACCTGTGAGAGCCACATCTGAGACACGCACAGGCCCCCAGGTTCTGGGTGGTATGGCCATGGTGGAAGCCACACTGACAGGCTGACAGTTTGTCTCAGCAGAGAGACCCTTGGGCCCCTTCCTCCGGCCACCTGCATATCTGTCCTGTGTCCAGAGTCTCCTGTGTTCAGGCTGGGGTGCACTGCTTCCTTGGAAAGGCCTCTCCCATGCTGGTTTTCATGGGTCGCGGTGATGCTTGAGGCCAAGGCCAGGCTCCCTGGTGCTCAGGGTGGACGAGCTGGGCTCGCCCTCCCCAGAGCCTAAAGTCAGCTGAGCTTATGTGTTCCCAATATAGCCGCTCTGGGAGGTATTTTTAGCCTCATCTCCCGAGGCTCATCCTGCCTCCCCGGGGAGGGAGCCAGCTGTGGAGGGGAGGCTAAGGCCCAGCCTCTCCCACTCCCCTATCTGAGGTGGCCACTAATGAAACAGACCCTCCAGTGTCCATAGCCTCAGACAGCCTCCACTGCCCATGTACCTGACCCATAGTTCCTACAACAATGCCATTCTTTACCTCCCTCAGTCCCCTACACAGCCCCCAACACTTACCTTACACCCTAGGTATCCTCCACCCAACCTCCCACAAAATCCCCACCAGATTCCTACCACCCACCACAGGTGTCCCACCCCCAACCCCCACTCATCTCCACCCACAAGCTTTCCCCAGCCATCCCTACCCAACCCCACTGCCTCCCACTCTCAGACATTTCCCACCCAACCCTCATCTGGACCCCATACTTCGGGTGGCCTTCTGACCCCCAAGAATCCCCCATTCAACTACCTAACCCCCACCCACTTTCCACCCCCAGGTGTCTCCCAGATAACCCCACTGATTCCCCCAACCCAGGCCTCCCCCACCTACCTACCCAATCCCACCACTTCCCATTCCCAGAGTGTTCCTCATCCACCCACAGACCCCAGATTGGGTGGGAGGCACTGAACTACTGACCTGGAGTGGGAATTCTCCCAGCTCTTGAGTGCCCCCCACCTGCAAGTGTCCCTTTCCCGAGGGTGTCTGTGTGTCCCCCCAACTCCACAACCTGACTTCTGTCTTCCCCAACTCCAAACCTGGCTCCCCACTGCAAAGCTCACCTTTAGGAATTCTAGGACCATGACCCCTTCCAGCCCCAAAGCCTGACTCTTTGTGGAAAATCAAAAACACGTGGGCTTTCAGCCCTCACGTCTGGTTTGCATTTAAGAAATCCATGCCAAGATCAGGATGATTGTTATAGGGTCCCCCCGCCCCCACCCCCATGGGATATGCATGGACACCACCCCATGAAAGGACCAAGCCCAGGAACAGAGGAGTGGCACCTGGCAAAGCCCCTCCCCCACAGGTCGGTCCATCAAGACTTTTGTCATAAATGGCAGAGTTCCGGGTGGAGTGGGAAGGACGACTGGCCCCTGAAGCAATGGTTCAGATGGAGAGCTCAGCCTGGGGGCTGGGTCTTCAGTGGGACTCCAAGTGGGTCCCCAGAGCCCTCAGGCCATGCCAATGCCTCAGGGTTGTGAGCTGAAATTCTGCCCTTGCACCCAGGAATTCCCGATAATCCCCAGTGCAAACACCCCAAGAGTCTAGGACCCCCTTGTGTCTGTGTCCCCTCGTTTGACTACACTGACACTCTCCACCACCTTTCCCCACTCTGCTGTCCCCCAGGGCAACACACAGGGCACCACACAGGACACCCCTGGACGAGGAGTCTGCTCCAGGTCCTGGGAGATGACCAGTGACCAGTCGGAGAGGCAGACCTCCTTCCTGGTGCCCACTTGGGCCAAATCATGAAGGCCACCCAGCTGCCACCTGTGGGTGTGGTACCCTGGGGGTCTGGAGTTATAGTAGAGACTGGGGAGCAGCCAAGTGAAGCTGAGTTCTAGCTGTCTAGAAGAAGCCCACAGGGCAGCGGCCACCTCCTGTCCCCTGGGGCACTGGGCAAGCTATTCCCTGTCCCCATCCCTGTGCCCTCACTTACTAGCCGCACCCCAGTCTATGCTGGTCCACGTGGGCAGCCCCCCACCATCCCAGAGGCTCAGACAATAGAAGCAGTGGGAAGGGCGCCCCACACACACACACAGATTCAGGGTGACACCACCCTGTAATTTCAGAGCTGAGCAGCTTTCTAATTTACATGAGAAGGGTGGCTGCTGGGGAGAAACACCGGCTTTTGTTCTAAACTTTGAGGCAGATATTCTAGAATGTCATCTCTGGGGAAGAAACACTACCTTTG